CCTAATAAATGTCTTTACAGAAAATCTAACTCATTTTAAATTAATACTTTTACTTTTAATACTTAAGTGTAAAAATTATCAGATACTTTAAGACTTTTACTCAAGTAATATTCCTAAAGGAGACTTTAACTTTTACCAAAGTAATTTTTTGGTAAGATACATGTACTTTTACTCAAGTATCACTTTGTGGTAKTTTATACAACACTGAAATCTGTGCACCTTTATCTTGTATGTTCCCAGCCACCGCCTTGGCATCCATCACCATGGGGGAGATGGTGTGTGAGAGGATGTCCGAGGCATGTTTCACCYTGTCTCTGAATCGCGGATCTTCAGAGTTCTCAACTTCTCTCTTAGCCACCAGGAGGACCCGGTTTGCTCGTCTTGCTATGCTCGTCGCCCCGGCCACGAGCATCTGGGGCTGGACGTTTGCCATGGCTACTCTACACTTGTCGATGTCTTTCTTTATGGCCTCCTCGGAAGCATCCAACAGAGACTTGGTGTCTATGGCTTCGTCGACCAAACCTGAGGATAAAACGCACAAAGTAATCCTTCAGGCTCGCCAARAGGTTTGGGAACATAGCTGAGCCCTTATTAGAAGAAGTGCTCACCTGTCAGTCTTTCCACATTGTCAATCCACTGGTTCTTCATGGTGTCAAAGTGTTCGTACGCCGCCTTGTTTCCGGGATTCTTCAACAAGATCCGAGCAGCGGACGTCACCTGGACATAAACCGGCACATTACACCCTGCTTTATGTCACCATGCAAATCAGGCAGGTTGAAGTGAACATGGCGCACCTGTGGTGTCAGCTCCCTGGCGTGTTTCACAGCAGCATGAATGCCCTCTACCGTGCTTTTATTAGCCGTCCCCACGGCGGCGGCCTTCTCCGCGGTCGCTCCCAGCCGGCCTGCGTGGGTCTCAAAGTTCCCTGCGCGCTCGTCAAAGACCTGTTACGGACGTAATCATTGCGAGCTGTTTCGCTGCKAACGGCAGGTGTGATAAGTGAGGAGGGAACATGTGTTTGCAGGTTTCTGACCTCCTCTCTGTTTGGGGCGTCGGGAGGAGCTGTTGCAGCCACCGCCAGCAGCTTGATGGGRGTGGTGGTGTCGCTGAAAACATCYGATACCTCCTGGGTCATCACCTCCTGCATGTGCTGCCTCAAGTCCTGGAAGAGGCAGAGAACGTTGAATCTTTCCACTAGGTGGAGCTATACACCAGTGATTTGTGTAATCATTCAGTTATAAAATCTGGAGCGGCAATAGGTAAGAGTCACCCACAACTTATACTCAAAGTGTTAACGATTACATTTGAAATACCTTGAGMGTGTCCTGCAGCTGTGCTGCTGTAGCTCGTGCGTGAGGAGCCTCAGCCTCTCCTCGGCTCGCCATGTCCGCCAAAGCATTCATCAGTGCTTCTGTTCGGTCGCAGCGCCCGACCATGTCCTGTCGATACGGGCCTAACAGGCCTCCTGCCAGCCTCTTCCCTTCCCCAACCATCCCTCTTATSGCGGCCTGGCCTGTAGAGAGTAACAAGAATGAGATTCCACCACATGTAGATACTGAAAATCCTCTCAGCGTTGGATAAAACTCTACATATTCTTCTTATTTTTTTATTTTACTTAAAGCGGATGCTATATTTTGTTTAGTTTCATGTTTTAAAACAGCTTATAGTGAGCAGGTACCTGTGTCCCACTGRAGCCTCTCACACTCTGCTCCCATATGGAAGCATGGCAGAAGGGAGGAAACAAATTCAGCACAACAAAGCATTAAATCGTGTCTAGTGAAAAAAACAAGGCATTCAGCAATTCATGCGTAAGATTTGTCACTATCTTATGAAATGACAGTGACATTTTTTAACAATGTTGGCGTCCCATAGAAATGATCATGGTTAGGGTTAACAGGGTTAGGGTTATCAACACATTTTCATTATTAGCTCACTTTTGAAAAATCCTACATTTCCACTAACATTTCATTGTTATTTAGCTCACTGTTCTTACATTTAGCAATTTTTTTACATGTAAATATTACGGAAATATTAAATCCTAAATCTAAATTTGAAAATTAAATCTTAAACGTTGCAACTAAATAATAAATAGGACTTTTAATTATTTTGGAATAGACCACAGCCTTTTTTTATTATCTTTATTTGAACCATTAAACAACAGTACACAACAGTGTATATGACACCAAAACAAGAAAACACCAGGGGGAGTATAACTTAAAATATGATGAAAAGAAGAAAAAAACATACAGTATTCTTCCATAAAAAATAAAATAAATACATAGATTAATAAAATAAAAAATAATAATTGTAAAAAACAGGTGCCAGAAAGCCTCAATCACAATCAGTTAAAGCAACAAATCATCCAAAATTCCAAGTTGGGAACAAGCCCATATTGTTGTGGCTTTTTGATTTGTAGAAGGCCTAATTGTAATCATATCATATCAATCAAAAAACAGAAAAAATTGGTTTTCTCTTCAAAAATTTGCATTTGTGTAAGTGAAATTTAGCCATGATGTTTAATAAACTGATAACGAAGACATTTGGATTCATTTTTCCAGTCTGTTGAAGTCCAAACTGGAACACAGCCTTTGCCGTTGGTGCAGCTTTTGTTGTGACATCATCATCCTGCGACAAAAGCATGCTAAAGCTGGAAACATACTCGCTCCAACGCCAACGGGTCGACGCGCGGTCACGTGGTTGTTCGGCAGTCGTTTTCACACAGACCTTTCATAGTTCCTGCATACTGCCCCGATCTCGGGGGGAACCCCTCCCTCCTGCTGAACCACACGTCACTGCATGGAATTTCTCCTCTCAACAGCAATGCAGAAAAAAAGTCACTCACCCGACGGATTTTTATCCACATCTGTCCTGGTTAAAAGGCTCCACAGTTTCAGATTCCTCCATGCCTGTTWGTTATGTCTGTTTATCTCCATTCATGTGTTTTTCATGGTTTGACTATCTTTATAAAACTCTGCTTCCTGGTTGGCTCGGGGAGRGAGTCGMGTTTTTTTT